TTAGGGGTCCTAGAGACCCCTAATGTCTCCATAAAGAGGACCTGTCAGTGTGCCTTTGCTATTATATAAGGGGGTTGTTATCCCCCTATATAATAGCAATAACAATAAGTGCAAAAAAGTAAATATAAAATAAAAGTCACATATAAAAAAAAAGGTGAAAAAAACTCCCAAAATGTTTAACTCCCCCGCGTTTACGCGCCTATAAACGTAAATACGCGTCCGGTGCCCCAGCGCGCAAAAATTACAATTGCGCTACACATGTTACATAACGCCGCGAACATCGCAGTGAGAGCAATCATTTTAGGGCCATCAATCACTGATAACACTAAACTGATGAGCGGTAACAGCTTTTAAAGCGTCGCCTATGGCCAATTTTGGGTATTATCGTTTTTTGAGGTTTCGCGCGCACGCAATTTTAAGGCTTGACATGTTTGGTGTCTTTTTACCCGACGTGACCCCGTCTTTTATATTTTACCAAAAAATTGGGTAATAATAAATGTTTTATCATTTAATATAGGGGAAACTGTTTTTTTTTTTTTAAATGCGGTAATTTTTCCTTAATATAGTAAAAAAATTAAAACCCCCGTGGCGAATAAATACCACCAAAAGAAAGCTCTATCTGTCCCCAAAAAAGGGTATAAAATTCATTTCAGTACAGCGCTGCATGACGGAATAAATGTCAGTCAAAGTACCGCAGCGCTGAATACTGAAAAATGGCCTGGATGGGAAGGGGGTTTAACACCGCGGATGTCAACTGGTTAAGGATGGAATTTCACCAGGTGGGTGTATTACAGCCCTGGACCTGTTAAGCGCTCTGCGGCTAACTCACACATTACACCAAGTGTTTAAAGAGAGCAACCCCAGCCTTATGGCTATGCAGAGGATAAGCCAATACGGAAAGATGAAACTTCTGGCTCTGCAGCAATTGTAGAATCTTGATAGAAAAAAATAGATGTTTAAAAATGATGTTTTACCATTTATGTTACTTAATTTTTTTTTTTATTTTACTTTTTTTTGCTATCACATAAGGGCCAATGTGATAGCATAGTAGAAATGACGGGTCCTCTTTAAGGAGACATCAGGGGATCTATTGGACCCCACTGAAGCTGATCTAGCACAGATCACAGTAGATCAGCTTCTTTCCTAGCCTATATGGCAGCTCTGTATCTAGAAGTGACGAAATCCTGCTCGTTCCCAGGAGGAAAAAAAAAATAAAAATCAGAGAATGAATGTCCACTGACTTCCCTCTTCTCCATCCACCGACACCTGCCAAGCCCACCTCGGGTGAGCAGGAGGGGAGTGGAACCAGGGACATTGGTAGGGGCAGTCAAACAGAGCGGCGGCACCTTGGAGTTAAACTTACCTTTCTTCTGTAATTCCAGGCATGACACCTTGGTGAGGGTGATATTATCCTACTTCCACAAGATCCTGGAGATTGCTGGGTATCCCAAATCTTGGGAGAATAGGATCCTGCATTGTGCTGCAGTCTTATTACGTGATTTCAGGTACTCCACTTACCCAGGGATCTCACTGGAAGTAGCATGACCTTACATTCTGCAGTATGGAAGGCAAGGGAATGGTAAGTAGATGTACTCATTTTTTCCCCCTTGTGACGAGGGAGGGGATCTGATGTATTAAGCCTTTCTTTTTTACCACAACAGTGTCTCTTTATTATATGAAATGGTAAAGTGATGCTTTCTGCTTTCATTACTCATTGGAACAATGAGCTATAACTCACAGCAATCTATTACATTGTTTCGATGTAAAAAAAAAGGTCAACAGACAATTTTAGACAACAACATAGTGTGCAACAGAGAAAAAGATGTAAAATTACCATCATGCAACATGCACTTCCAGTATGGAGCATGCACGTGTCTTGTATTCTGTATAGACTCTAGCGCACTACAAAAATAAAACAAAAACAAATAATAATAGTATCTATCCATTGTCTTTATTGGTCAAAATAACAGTGCACTCTAGATAAGGAATCAACTTCTGCAATTAATCTAGCTAAACTAGGTAATGTTTAATCTACGAAAGTTTGATATTAGGTTGGCAGTAAAGATGAACTCCAAGCAGATTAATGAAAACAAACATACTTGCATGATTTATTTTAAAGATCAATAAGTGTATTTTTAAATGCAGCTAGTGCACATACCTGAATTTACTTGTTATCAGCTTCTTAAAATTTCCTGTACAGGATAGCTTAGACTAGGAGAAGGAAAAGCAGCTCAAGGAGTCAGTCAGTTGTGCTTCAGTGATCATGTGCTAACAAGGAACGTCCTTACAGTAGGTAAGAGAAGAGTGACAAGAGATAAGAGCTCATCTAGTTGTATTACTCAACTAGAGCAAAAGAAAAGTCAGGTCTCCATCCTGGCTGTGTTGTCTGGTGGGACTGTGTATATCTCATGATTGAAGACAGAAATACAAATCCTTTGGTGGATAAAACAGCCCTCATTTATGGCAGTGTGTAATTGGGTGTTTAACTAGAGTTCAACTTTAAATCAGGAACAAGAAAGATTAGGGCTGTGGAAATTAACAATGAATTCCTCGATTAATCGTTAATTTCTTTGATCGATGAAAAAAATTTTGATCGGTACTCACCTCTCCGCCGGCTTCCGGGAGTCCCGTCGCCGTCACCGGACTCCTCCCCCCTTCCGCAAGTGGCTCTGTCGGCTAACGAAGGGGAAGGGGGAGGAGTCCGGTGACGTCCATGTCCGTGACCTCACTGGACTCCTCCCCTCTTCCCTTCGTTAGACGACGGAGACAAAGAAGAGAAGATTCAGAGGTGTTGTAAGAGACACTGTTGTAAGAGATTTAAATGTGGAGCTGTGAAAAGGGCTTCTTTATTGAAGCTGTAAGTTTGCAGAAATGCTCTTCCACAAGAAGAGCTTTTAGTAGACACTTTTATTCTGATCTTTTTGTGTGCAGTATGTCTAAACAACTAAATATTACTGGTTAATGGCATTTTTAACAATACAGGTTGTATGTGGATTCAGGCATTTATCTACCTTCATGTGCATGTGCGGGCATTTGATATATAGGGGTTAATTTAGAGCTGCAGCTAACGATTATTTTCAAAATCGATTAGTTAGCCGATTATTAAGTTCGATTAAATCGGTTAATCGGATAAACTATAAAATAAAGTTTAAAAAATGGCCCCAGTGATGGACTACTAGTTTGTATTGAGGTTGTAGTCCATAACAGGAGCAAGCTTGGACCGGTGGAAGTAAAAAAGAAAAAATAGGATTTTGGTACTCACCGTAAAATCCTTTTCTCTCCGTTCATTGAAGGACACAGGGAACAGATCGGAGATCATGTACTGTAGGGTAATATCGCCACCTGCAGGAGAAGGACGCTAGGCACAAAAAAACTAAAGACCAATTACAGCCTAGGGGCGGCCCCTGCCGGTGGCCAAACCCCCCACCTACTGAGAAGTCTCCAGTTTAGTAACAAGCAGTAAAGGAGTACACACCCACATAGAGGGGCGGGCCCTGTGTCCTTCAATGAACGGAGAGAAAAGGATTTTACGGTGAGTACCAAAATCCTATTTTCTCTCCCGTTCATTGAAGGACACA